TAGCTACGACAAACTATTTGCCGTAGCTATTTGCCAGCATATGGATTCTGTAGAAGTGGGTCCAATAAACAAAATTGTATTAAAACTTGTTTTCGCGAATCTGCTTTGAAAAACGTCACTTTTAGATGCTCTTCAGTATGGAAGCTGATCTTCAGGTTAAATAAGCCGATGAACTCCTCACGACACTTGGCAATCAGCATAGGAAAAAGTTACTCCTATGTTTCATGAAAATTGTTATTCCGCCCGTTGATAAACTGGGCACTGTAAATATATGTCGCGGAAGAAAGTAGCATTCTGAAGGGTATCCTGATCTCTGATGGTGCCCTAATCTTCTCTTTTCTCTTTTTAAATTCTTCTGCTCTTTTGTGATTGACAGCTACAAGGTGTGTTTGAGATGTGGTTTGCTCAAAGAGGGGCGTTGTCACTTTGACTGGTCATAGTTAGTAGAGGGGCCTGGTTGGGAAGGTCGGCGAACTTCAAAAGAGGAGGTTATTACTCGATCTTTTAGAAATCACGTGACCAATACCATGCACAGCACAGGATTCAACTGCGATGTGGCGCCGGTTGTCACTTGAGTACGGTACGCTGTCTTGTGTTCTTTTCGGCGTTATTATGAAAAAAAGAAACAGTTGTAAATCGTAAAAATGCTACTCTGGATTAAGTTTAAAATGCCTGGGAGTAAATTGTTCCGTGGTTGGCTGTGGATCGTGCAGGCGATCGAAAGGTATAGGCATTTGGAAACTTCCCGCTCCGAGGAACGAAGTATACAAAAAGTGGAGAGCAGACTGGATGAATGAACTCACAAAATCAAGAAAAGTAGACAAAGATTTCCAGAAACAAATTGACAGCGATAGAGTCTTTACATACGAGAAGCATTTCGCTCCCGATGATATAGAAATTGGTAAGTATTCAGACTAAAGCTTGTGTGTGTATGGTGCTTACCAGTATGGAATGTAGGGTTTTTGTGCACGGCACAGCACAACCGAAGGTGTATGTATAGTTAGTAGTTAGTAGAGAGGACTTATAAACATCAGATGTGTGTTCAGTATAACTTGGAACTGACAATGTTTACTTTTGTGTTCCGTGATGGCAACACATGTCTTGTACTAACCAAAGCTCTTCCGCCTTTCTTACTGATACATAAATTATTTAAATCTTCTTTTAGCTGTGTCTTCAAAGATGACCAAGAAAAGACCGAAGTTTGGTTCTCTACAGACTCTAAATATGCCCCAAAAAAGCCACCAAAAGGAAAACCTAGCGTCACGAAGACTGCTATTGATCGTGAAGGACTTGCTTGAAACCAAAAGAAAGAATGCTTGTTATAGTAACTTTGTAGAGCTTTGCAAGCGAGTTTATCCTTTGAAAACACTCAGTGACTGGTCAGTTCAAGAGTTAAATGACAGAATATTTCTGAGACAGATGAAAAACACATTTTTGTTGCCAGAAGTTGAAATCATGATAGATGACAGTTTGGGATACACAATTTCAATTTTTGGATGGCTCATACCTGAAGACCATGAACAGTATTTTAGATATTTAAGATCAGTCAGTAATATCACAGTTTCTGACCTTGTGAAAGATGTTGAAAGCCACTCCATATGTCCTGGAGTAATTCCACATGAATTATCCAATGCTGTAATACCCCACATCATCCCGAAATCTGTTGATCCACTATTCGATGATAGTTCATTTCCACACCAGCAGTATTGGAGAATGAGAAGATGTGAAATTTTAACAGAGGATGAGGGCCAGTAGTGTGCTGGTTGCTATGGATATTCACATGAATCTCAGCTAAAAGAAAGGGCCAAGTAAAACAAACTAGCTACGCCAGCGCATCTCAATACCCCAGTGTCTAAGACACCTCCAGAACGATTAAAACTGACTTTGCAGATGCAATGTGCAACCCTTGAAAAGAAACTTCAAGAAATGAAACTTGAAATCGAGAAATCAAGTGTTGAGATTTATTATGAACTCAGTAAAGACGTGACTGATGTACTTGGTCTGGCAGAGATCGCACCATTCATGAGCCTATTTTATTTTGGCAACAACAAAAGAAACTCCACAACAGCACATCAACTGGTGTAAGATATCACCCAATGATAATTCAATATTGTTAGTCATTGGCAGCCAAATCACCATCTTGCTACGAGGAGATAAGAAAAAGTGGGATACTAGTCACTGCTGCCAAACCAAAGAACACTGCGGGACTATAGAAACTTTATTAGACCCAAAAGGGGCTTTCATGAGAATGTAATTGAAGAACTGAAAGCATTAACAGACAAGTACTTTGATGTGCAACGATATGTTGTCTTGCTATTTGACGAAATGAAAATCATGTCAAATCTTGTTTTTGATAAGGTCACAGGCGAATTGATTGGATATGTGGATCTTGGTGACCCTGATGTCAACTTTGGAGCTCTGGAAAAACTTGATGAGGTTGCAACTCATGCTCTTGCTTTCCTCATCAGAGGTGTTTGTACAGAGTTGAAGTTCTGCTTGGCCCACTTTTCTACCAATGGAGCTACTTCTGCCCAGATAATGCCATTGTTCTGGGAGGCTGTTGCTATTTTGGAGTTAACCTGTAACCTCTGGGTTATTGCTTCTACTTCGGATGGAGCCACACCAAATAGAAAATTCTACCGAATGCATAAGAGTCTTGATGGAAATGCTGACAAGGATGTGTGCTATCGCACAATCAATTTGTTTGCACCACAGAGGTTTATATACTTCTCAGATGCCCCTCATCTTGTAAAGACCACAAACTGTCTGTATCATTCTGGATCTGGTACTTGTACCAGGTATGAGTTTACAAAACAATTTCAAGATAAAAAGCAAAAGGAATTTTACTGTGCAGGTGGAGAGCTGTTGGCCTTTGCTGTCCCAGTAACAATAGGGGCAGCAGTTACGTCCAACAGCCAATAGAATGGTTATGATCGGTACATTAGATTAATACAATACAATAGATGAGGATGATTAATACAATAGAGGTCCTAATTTTATCTTGAATCGTAGATGTTAATGATGCTATGAGATCATGATACAGATTTAAGAAAATTGCGAAATGGGCAATCTTATATCCGTAACTGTTATTGGGACAGCAAAGGACAGCAGCTGTCCATCTACACACAAGAAATCCCATCTGCTTATTATCCTGCATTTATATATGTTTTACATTTTGCTGTTAATAACTCCTTATATGATATTGTAAGTTGCCAATGATTTGCTGCATACATATTATCGTTGACTGACTATTGTTTCCAGGTATATGTGGAATGATGGTCACTACTTATTATGGCAGCACATCACCCAAATCTTTTATCAAGATGCAGAGAATGGCTTGAAGTTGCTTCCTAGAACTACATATGACCATGTTAAGCTAAATTCGTACTCCAGCATGCGTGTCAGTATGGCAGCTCAAGTGCTAAGTGCATCAATGGCAGCTGTTTTAAGATAATTTGGCCCTCCTGGTACAGCAGGTACAGTGAAGCTATGTGAAATGTTTGACTCTTTCTTTGATTGCTTAAATGTACGCAGTAAAATTGAACATCAGAGGAAGAGAAAACCTTTCCTTGCTCCTTACACATCCACTGATGATCCAAGATTCCCATGGCTTGAAGATGAGTTCCTGAGATATCTTAAGCAGTGGAAAGAATGCACACTCAACCGACCTGGAAATATCACTGCCAATGCTAGAAAAAGAATGTTTATATCTTGGCAGACATACGAGGGTCTGCAGATTACATCCTATTCAGTTGTGGAAGCAATAAAGTTTCTTCTTAATGAGGGTGTTGAATATGTCTTAACTGAATGATTCTGTCAAGATCCCATACAACAACATTTTGGCAGTCAAAGAAAACATCGAAGAAGATGTGACAATCCAGACATCAGAATGTTTGGGTACAATGACAACAACATTCGAATACAACGATCTATATCATGCCAGTCTGGCAATACCAGGGGGAGGAAAGACAAAAGCAAGGCATGGGTCAATGTGACTGATGATCGTCTTCCCAAAAGAAAAAAACAGTGAGATTTTTAGAGAGTGATTGTCATATGACTGTGAAAAAATAGGCAAACTAATTGATAGAGTGTAGAAAAAATAAGCCCATTTTTTTCTTTTATCTTTGAATTTCAACTTTTACAAACTTATTGGTCTATTTTCTCATGCCTATAATATTATGGAAATCACACTGTCTAAATGCATTGATTCTGATTTAAAGCCACAGCTACAGGAGTACTTCTCAGATCGAAACAAAGAGTAAAGACACAAATAGTACTGAGCCTGTTCTTTACTTAACAGATAAAGATTTTGTCTTTCTTATCATGTTTCTAATGTTCTTTTCGTGCATTTTTGCACCAAAGAGTTTATAGTTTCTAACTGAAATTTTTTTTGATCCACGTATAAGGCCCCCCCCCCCGAGCTTATAAGCCCTGAGCTTATAGGCAGAGAAATATGGTATGTATGTTGAAGTTGTCCTAAATAATAAATGATAATTACTGAAAGCAGTTCAGTCTAATTTTTCCTTAGTCAGTTTCTGTGGAGGGTCTAATGATGTCTTTGCGAAGTTCTTTTGATTTCAGCTGTTTTAGTTTTATCTTGTGTTTCTGTATTATGTCCTTTGCAAAAGAAAATGAGCGAACTTTTACTTGTGTCTCATAGCAGAAGGGTCTTCTAATTTCCCAGCCTTAAGTACAGACATTGCTTGCTCAGTTTCTTATAATTTCTTTACAATTGCATGCTTGTTGTAAAGCTTGTGGAGTACAGAACCTCCAATGTACTGTAGTCCAGCTTTTTCTTTATCGGACAGTTTAGTCAATGAAATACACGTAGGACTTTCAAGTAATTTCTCTTCAGCACTATGTACAAGCATGCTGTCAGCAACCTTAGTTGAAAGTAGCGTAGCAGCATTCCTTTATAATCCTTCAGAATGCTTCGCAAAATGCAAAGCAATATTTGATTAAAAAGCAGCATAAAATCTCTCAACCTTTCCAGAGTTGACTAAGCGGTTATATAAGTTCTGAATTTCAAAGAATTCTGATGTTATGTTGCAGATGTAGGAATTGATTTCTTCTCTTTTCAGCTGTGGGTACATTTTGCAGTCGCAATATTTTAATTTGGCTTTCTCGACAATCCTTGAATAAGTTTCGACAGTTAAATAGCTCTGTCGTTTCCCTTGGTCCTCCTTTTCGATAACTTTGTGCTTTACAGTTCTGTGGCGTTTCAGTCCACTCTCGCTCTTGCATTTCTTGTGGCAATGTTGACATACAATGCATTCGAGTTGAACCTGTCATGGGTGCAAAGAAAAAGTTAGCGTTGATAGCGTTTAGTTAGAGTTAGCTTTCATTTATAAAAATAAGTATACAATCCAACCACAATCAACAAATTGGTCAACAATAATAAAGTTCCTGATTAAGATAAGTATTTCGCACTTAGTTCGCAATGAAAAGACGGTTTCAAGCTTGAGCACATATCAGAATTGATCGAGTGACGGGTGATCTTTTCCTTGCTTACGCCGAAACATTTAACTTTTATCATCAAAATCACCAAACTTTGAGCAGATTTAAACACTTACTTCATCGGCAGCTTCTTCAAAGTGTTAATCGATTTCTTCTTCATCTAAAATTTCTAAGACAGCGTCGAAATCGTCTCCAAACAAAAATAGATCGATCAAGTCAGCCATGTTTACCTTTGTTGTTTTGGACTTGAGCTTGACGTGTGCACGGTACTGGTCACGTGATGGTACGGTTCAACCTCAAAAGCGAAACAATAGGCCGGCCCGTTGAAGTTCGCCGGCTTTCCAAACCAGTCCCCACTACTAACTATGGTCTCAGTCAGGAGGAAAGACGGGACTTTAGACAATAGTCTGTTGTCAGCGCGAGCGGCTCTCGCTCAATTGTTCTCTGACGCGTGACAAAACGACTATTCGCCTCAGGCTCGTGAATATTGGTGAATATTTCCCTCGACTTCGTCTCGGGGAATATTCACCAATATTCACGAGCCTAAGGTGAATAATTGTTAGTTAACCCTCACGCAAAACCTGAATGAAGAACCTGCCATTTTAAGTGCTGGTGCTAAGTAGCCTGGTCTCTTGCTCTTTCACCTAATGATATCAAGCACGTCTCGTCTGCTATGGGTTACAGGTTAAGAATGCCATAGTTTATCACAAGTGCAACTAGCAAGGAAGGTTTTCATCGATCTTTCGACATTTTTTAACCTAATGTTTTCAGTTTTTTAGGAGTAATAACGAGATCACGCGTTTGTCAGTAGGTGTGCACTCGATAGTGACAAATCTTAAAGAATAGATCAAGTTGATAAGCATTGGAGAACAATAAAAAAATTTTTTATGTCGAAATACAATTAAAAAGATTGGTAGATTGTCTGCAAATTCTCGCGTACATCATCTAGGTTTATTATGCAATTATTTTTCAGGTTACTTTTCTTCAATTGCTTAAACTACAACTTACCTGCAAATATTATGGCAGTGCTTGAATTTCATTCGTGGTCAAATGAAGATTAATTCATTGCAAACTATGATCAGATTCCTCCACAAGAAATAAGAGGCTTCTAAAATGTGCCCCACTCCAATGCATGAGCTACGATGCCAAATGCATATGGCATCCTAGCTCAGTTGGGAGCAGCGCCTAATTAATTTAGGGAAAGCAAGGGTTCTAATCCCCTCTCACCTTCGAGGATCACTGTTTTACTTGATTGTGTATTCTTTTGTCAAAGGCTTCCTAATGTCGTTATATGATCTGCTAGTTTCAGCGTACAATAGTAATGTCAGAGGGAAAGCTTTTTGAAGCTTGGAAACGTACTTGGGCAGGTCTCGTAATAGTTTTGTAATTTTTAAGCTATCCGAAAATATGTTATTTGATGTCTTACTAAAGGAAAAAATTACTTACAACTAAAGTAATTTAGTATTTGTGCCGAAAACACCTGATGGCAAAACCCTCAAGGGGTTATCAGACAAGTCCCTAAAAGATGAAAACCAAAAATGATTACAAGCTCAGCTAAGATCTTGTCTTAAAAGTGTTAGAACTATTTTTATCCTCTGTAGTGTTCGACGCTGTTACTGATGATAAGTTCAACCAAAAATATTCGTGGAAAATTCTCAGGACTCATTGATTAAGGGTAGCGTCACCCAATATTTAGAATATAGAATCCGGTTGGCTTGTGTTCAAGCTCTCCAGCCATACATTTGTGGGATTTCCTTTTTGGTCTCCAGTTTCTCTCCGTGGCTGTGTGCTATCAAATGCCAAATGGCTCCCTTCCCGCCGGTCAGGATTTGTGACCACTCTACAATCATTCCCCCCCCCCCTCCTTTTTATTTTGGCTTTGCTAGATCTGTCAGTTTGGGAATGTCAAGTAAAATATTCATCCTCAAACCATAATTTATCAACTCTGAATTTCACGTTGGCAAAGTCATTCCTTTTTTGGAAAAACCAAAGCCTCTTAACAAGCAATGACAAAATATATTTTGTTTTGTAAGGAACACTTTTATATACACACGAGCCACAGTTGAAAGAAAAGTGAGACCGACATGTCTTAAGTCTTCTAAGCTTGCGATCTAAGTCACGGCCTTCCAACCCTTTCAGTCCTTTCATTCTGTTTAATTTCATCCATTAGTTTATTACAATTGTCATTGTTTTTACTGTCATCCGTTAATGCAATTATTTCACTATTATTATTTTTACCATTATTATTATTATTCTGTTATGTAAGGCACACTTTTATATGTACAGGAGCCACAGTTGAAAGAAAAGTGAAGCCGACATGTTTGTATCATTTATCTTTCTGTGCCTAACTCCCCGATTTCAATCCCAATCTTTCAGTTAATTTGGATAAACTCATAGCCAGGTGGTGAGTACTAAAAACTCGTTTGTTTGGAAAATTTAGTCTCCTTATACCACCTCACTATAAAGCCTGTTTGGACTGGCGTATGCTTGAATGCAGCTCGTACCAAAAAGGGTGAAAATGCCTATCTCAAGTCCATGTGACTTTCAGGGAAGTACATACTTACAATTACCGAAATAACCATTGAAAGGCAAATTGTCATTAAAATCTGTCATAGACGAGATAGAAATGTCCGAATTTTAAGATTCAATTGTACGCTTCTCTTGTCATCTCACATGATCCTCGCATCGTACGTTTAATGAATACCATAGCACCCTCTACTTACATGTGCTTCAGATCGGTGTTGTTTCTAAAAGTTCCTGGCGCCAAACCGTTCAGATAGTTGTCGTTTAGAGATCTAACACAAGCAAACAAATCAAGACATTGATTAAGTTAAAGCGTCTAGATGATAAGATACTTGTACATCAAATTACTGTATTTTCACTAAATGAAACAAGAACACTGAAAATCTTCCAAAACTTTTTTTTTTATAATCCTAGTTAACAATATTAATACAGTTTTTTGCCACATGAGGAAAGGAAAGCCTGTGAAAAGTATGG